GCGGTAATTTGGAATTCGAAATGGGTCTATTGGCAATTTACGCTTTGGATGGTGTTGAGAGCGATGAGCAAACTCAAACACAAACTCAAACTCAAACTTCCTCCGTGGTAATGGACTATTTAACAATTAGAATACGAGGTCGAGTTTTCTATGACTCATAGAAATAAATTCATTTTGAGCTGGCGTTATGCATATTAATGAGCTTAATATTGATTACGATTAGCGGGTTATCACAGGTTGCTGCCAAATATCAATTTTTATTAGATCTTTGGAGTTGACTTAGGCTAAGTTTCACAGGAAGCCCAATAGGGCCTTGGACTGAGACCAATATGCACTGAGTTACTTTGAGTGATTGTGTTGCAATAGTCCGTTTGAATTGTTTTCAGTCCAAGGCCTTATTGCCTGCCTGGGGCGGTGAGGTCACTTTTCTGAGGCTAGTTTAAAGTGCCATGTTGAGGCTACTCAACAACATATATTTTTTCTTTTCTTTGTTTCCGTGCGTGCGTGAATATGTTAGACATTTTTTAGACTCAATTAATCCGTTTTCCTTTGGGAAAATTAACATGCACATAATTAGATATCTAAGTGCTGACACAGAGTTACTTTGCCTGTCGTGGTGAGAGTGTGAACGTTATTTTTCGATGGAATCTAGTTAGATTACTTTTCTCTTTTTGGACGACCTTCACCTGTAAGTATTGTAAGCTTCTCGTATTTAGTAACATTACCTTTCACTGATATTTGTATTTTAAGGAATTCACTACATAATAAACTAAAAGGCCGTACGTCGAATCAGGTCGGGTCCTTACATGCCACTACGATGAAATTTTAATGTCTCCAATGTTTACTATTTAAACACATGTTAAAGGGGCACTTGGATGAAAATGCCCCAATTTTTGAAAGTCCGAATAATTGAAGTATATGAGGATAATGTGACTCAATTATGATTATGTAAACCAGATTAGTGAACATTTTAGCCTGGGAGCCACTTGCTATTGAGATATTTTGGTTCAAAAGCAGAAAGAACAATAGGGTTGAGTAAATGACGTCATTCACTCCAAATTTAGATGCTGAATAAAATATACAAGTTTTAAGTTCATGGTAATCAGGAGATTGATGACTTCATATTCCCAGTTTCCTTCAACATAGATTTCAATATATCTCTGAGAGTATTTAATGAATGTCATCTAAATTTTGCAGTATACTTGTATTCAAAATATAAAACATGAAAACGCACAAACTGTGGTTGCTATGGCAACACACGGGTGTCCAGGCCCCTCAACGATTTTAGCCTTTCAGCGATTGTTTCGTTATATTTTAACTTGAGCAGGAAATCGTTCGACTACATTCTTATCCACGATCATAACAGATATTTTAACCTAGCCTTATTCTATACCATCTCTCGATAAGGTAGAAATGTCAAAAACCCGAATTTAAGATAGGGGTGGCCTGGAACCGAGGCAACTTATCTCTATAGCTGCTTTTGAATCCAGGCAAAAAAAGGGCAAGTCAGAAATTTGATTGTAGTGGCACTTTAGGGTTATAAGACTTAGATAAGATACTTTGAGTGTTTATGTCGCAATAGTCTTTTGAATAAGTCTCGCTCAGTCCAAGGCATCAGAAAAAATCTGTTAACATTTGGTCAGCTACGATTTCAAGCTCACGCCCCCTCATGTAAGTCCATACAAATTATGTCTCAAAAACACGGTTTTTTGATCTTTTCTCAAAATAATGACTGTCTAGGCAAAAAACAGAAGTGGATTCAGTTAATTCAACTATTCACGGACTGTATTATATGGTTTGCATTGAATTCTATTGAAAAAAACCACCGTACTTTTTGAGTTGAATGTACGCTATTGGATGTATTTTACAAGAGAAAATGCATGACATAACCGGGGTCAAGCTAGAAAATCGTCTCTCCTTGCTATGAAACAGAACCTGTCAAAAAAACAGAAGTGGATTTGAAAACCCCGGGCTTTCCTGAACATTTTGATATACAATTCATAGGAATTTGTTAAAATCTAGAACCGTATTTTTGCTGATTTTATAAGCTCATATTATCTGTTGCCCTATACATTCGCCTCTTATGGTTTCATAGGTTTCGCAGCCTCGAAAACACGCTAACTACTAGTTAGCGAAAGAACAGAAGATTTACGGGTCATTTAGGATGTTTTGTCACGCAGTTTACTTGTGCTATATAACTTTACTTTTAAGAACAACCTTTTGCTTTGGAAAGAGAGGAAAAAGACCGAAAAGACCAAATATTCCAAATGTATGGGCATTTTTTTCCAATGGACCAATGGGGCTTCCTGAGCCGATGTTGCCACTTTGTTGGTTCAAATTAAAATATGATAATGAAATTTAGCTGAAAATGAAAATGAAAATGAAAATCTGCTTTTTTTTCTTATTTTTCTTTTCGTATTATTAATCGAGTGTGAAACTTTTAAAATCCGAGTCGAGATAAATTTACTTTGTTTTTTCCCCAAGGATTTCAGTTTTATGCGTGGGCGACACAACGTAGCCTTTGCTTTGCTATTCATGGGGCAAAACGTGAATACGGGGGGAGGGGAAATGGGAAGGGGAAGGGGAAATAAAGGCCCTTTAAACATCCTTAAGGGAAAGCTCTTCCCCAAACACCATTCAGCCAATTTTCTTACTGAAATATTTAAGAAATATTATGTTTATATGTCCGGACTCGCCAGAAGTCCCTTTTTTAAAGCTTATTTGGCTTAAAATCCTGTGATCACATTGATTTCGCGTTTTCGTATACCAGCGAAACAGTGAAGCAAGACAAAAGCAATAAAGTAGACAAAAATATAGAAATGGCGACAACCAAGATTATTCTAATTTCGAATCTAGCATGAAATTGGAGGATTATTCTAAAATCCGGGCTTAAAGATCTCGAGATGCGTCTTGCAACAATCCAGATCTTACTATGAATCACAAAGTAATTATGGGTCAAAAGTTTACGCAACAAATACTTTATTTTTACTTTTACACTTTGCGTTTTGAATTTTTACAATTGCAATGTCTGATATAGCAGATAAGATGGAAATACAATATTATTTATGAATAAATTAGAATTTATTGTACACGTGTATTCATTCTTCTCACCAAATCGGCAGAATGAGAAGTTCATCTCGTATCACTTTCGTGCCCCTTGACTGCGGCCCGGTGCTGGATGGTAAAGTGCTGTTGTTTGGAAACAACATTGGGAAACGGGAATTCCAGAAGGTCATCCTTTGTGGATAGTAATTGCTGGTCATTACAGGGTTACTTTGGATTTTCAGGTAATTTTTGAGGGAAGAGTTAAAGGACGCCCACTGCACACCATTGACAGCGGTAGGAGTGGGGTTACCAAATTTGGCAAAATTGGTAAACATGGTCACCACCATATCACTGACGTTCCGGTCGTTGTCATCAAACCTCAGCTCACTTGGGTTAGAACTGAGAAGTGGTAGACCAAACTTGTAGGCAGTTGTGTCTTCGTGGACGACTCCCATCCACTGGGGTTTTGGATGGAATTGAGAACGATGAGCGAACTCGAACATGAAGTTAGCAGTGCTGTTCTCACTCTGGAAGGTTAAGGAAGGATGGGTTGGTGCAGTAACATAGAAGTCAGACAACATCTCTACAAGTTTCTTACGGTACTCACTGGGGTCATTGTTGTCAGGAGTGTACTGAGACTTTAGAGCACTGTAGGCAGCTTGAGCATTGTGTACCTTACGTCCGAATTTTAGTTCAAAAAACGATTCTAAATAAGTTCTGAAACTTCTGTCATCATATACGTTTACTTTTTCAAATTCCAAAACAAAAGAACCTTCCTGGCTCACGAAGCCTGCCATTAAAGGAAGCTTAAGGAATTGTCCTCGTTTTTTCAACGCTTTTGGGTTGTCGGGTAAAAAGTGTTGGTCAACGAAGGGCTGCAGTAGCCAGTATCTTGAATTCGTGAAGACATTGGTGCTTGAAACTAGCTGAAGGCATTGAACAATTAATTGGCTGCTGTTTCTTGTACAATTGACATTCTTTACCAACTCTTTGCTGTAAGCTAAGACTGAAGACTTTGGTTTGTAGGCGAAAGGACAAAAGTCCACACCGCTCACTGCAATACCTCGATGAAACAGTCCTGATGACAGAGGTGATAAATAGTGTAAAGCCACACTAGATCCTCCTGCGCTTTCACCAAGGAGAGTCACGCTGTTGTTATCGCCACCAAAACTATTGATGTTTCTTTGAACCCACTTGAGGGCCTCTACCTGGTCAAGAAGCCCCAAATTTCCAGGTGCCTCTGAGTCCCCAGTAGTGAAGAATCCAAATGGTCCAAGTCGATACTGGATAGTGACAAGAACCACACCGCGTGTAGGCAAGTACTCGCCTGCTAATATATCACGAGTAGGGGTACCTACGTAATAACTTCCTCCGTGGATATGGACTATCACCGGGTATCTCCATGTTGAGTTCGTACTTGGAGTGTAGATGTTCAGGTACAGGCAATCTTCGCTCATATCTCTCTTTGGATCGAATTCTGGCCATGCCCTACTTATTGAATCAAAATAGTTTCCAGATTGTATACAAATTGGTCGGAAATCAGTAGCGTTGTAATCGCTTAATCTTTGATTGGAAAGAGCTTGTGGAGGTTTAAAGCGAAGATTACCTATGGGCTTCTCAACATAAGGAACGCCCAGGAACTTGTAGATGGTTTTTGTTTGTCCCTGGTGGGTTTGGATGTCTTGTCGTATTCCCCTGACATAGCCTTGTTGGGTTAGGACTCTTGTAGTGTTCGTCCCAAAAGCAATGGCAACAAAATGAAACATGAGACAATAAAGTGAAATAGTTCTGTGTTTTGACATAACCAACTCCATCTTTGGCAAGCTGAAGGACCACCCGAGTTTGATGATGTTAGTTATAGATGTTGAGTTTATGTACCAGCTAACTTTATCCTGACGAGTTAAATCAGACTAACGTCAGCGTTGTTAATTCTTATTTTTCTTTTCTTTTTATTTTTTTTGAGGTAATGCGTACTAAAATATTAAGCTGCACAAATTCTTCGACTTGCTTGGTTGACCCTGTTGTATTTCGTTCATACGTTCTGTTCTTATCACTTCTATCAATAATAATAATCAAATCTCCATATGATTCAAAATGTGAAAAACGTGGTTTTAATTTTTAAAAATATCCGTTAAAAATATTTCGTAATGATTAATCTTATTAAGATATCAACAGTTTTCAACAACCCACCTGTTCATTCGCCGGTTCCGCATAGTGAGCACATGGAATCTACAAATCGTAACAAAAGCACGCAATCGTATGTTCATTGTATAATGGTCCAACGCCAACAAACTGCGCATGTTTGGAATATTGGCGGGAAAATGTAAGGCGCCTGCTCTTGGATTTTTATTATCTTAGGAGTGAAATAAGTAAAATTTTACTTATCCACAATTTGTTTTCAAATTCTTTGCTGGTAACAAACTCATTTTTATCAGCGRCATCATGCATATTAATGAGCTAATATGACACAAAATAACGCGATAAGCAGATAATCATTGATATAGCTGTCAATTATAGAATTTTTTAGATCTTTGAGTAGAGTTGTATATCTTAGGTTAATAATAAGACTAAAGTTAAGAGCAACTGCCTGTAAGGGTGGATAATCGGACTTCAGCGACTACTTGGTCAAATTCCTAATACTTTTCCAGAAGATACCCTTAGATGGTGTTTTTTCAAAAGGTTCCAGCGGATTTTTATTTTTGAGAAAATCGCAAGAGTGAAACTGGTGTCAAGCCCCGGTTTCGGTTCTGAGAAATCGTCAAAAAGATGACCCAAAAACAAAGCCTTAAACTAGCACAATCAAGCTGAAAATCCTCAAAAACTTAATTCCTCTACTTACTACTTATAAAAATATTCTGGATTTGGAAATGATAATTTTCTACAGGCCAGATTGTTAACGGTACTGAAAAACTACAACTTGAAAAGAACTGTGGTCATCGAGCCAAAATATCTACTGGTACCTAATTTTCTTGAAATTAAAACATCATTTCCTAGAAAAGATATATACACTATTGAAGTTTATCTGTGGCAATTTTCAAGCTCAAAATCGAAGAACTTCCCTTCCAGAACATCGGACACTTATCCAAATATTAAATATCCACAGCACATTACGAGACAGTTTCTCTAAGCAACAACTTGATTGTCACATTTAACAGGAATAGCAATTGCACTACTTAGCAAAGGGAGTTATTCAAGCTGTTATTCTAGTGTTAACTGCTTTTTTCCCTTCAGTTCTGATATTCAGTTTAGATACTCAGTTAGCCGGAATAACCCGAATAACTCATTACCTGAACCAGTCGTTCCCGATTCACGATATTTTCGATCCATTACATTATTTTTTGGCCATTTTGGACCTCGCTAATTCTTTGTAAGTATATTTAAAACATTCAGAGAGTAAAAAAAAAGACTGTGTTCGTATTCAAGGATTGCATTGCGTGGCGCGAGGAATGTGGCGAGTAAAGCAGCACGCGGGAAAGGAAGCCTACTTTACCTTTCTTGGTGTGATCATTTCCTTATTTCACAATGTCCTTTATATAATATCTTATACCAATGTAACTTCTTCATTACCTGAAGAAGGCAAGCAATGGGTTGCCGAAATATCGTTTTAGTAAACACTTGGGTACTGGATTTTCATTTATCTTGGATTTGTCAAACTCGTCCCGACCCCCCGTGCGACCAAAAAGGAAAAGGGGACTTTAACAGTCAAAACTTGGGGCTGCTGTTCCAAAGAGACCAGTAAACCAACTCTCAACCAAAAAAAAAAAATTAAAAATAAGATGATGTTTCTGTGCCGGGATCATCCAGAAGCCTCTTCGTTATTAGCTTGTATAGTATTTTAAATTATTTGACCTGTGAAAAATAAAAAACCAAGTTCGTTAGCTACTAACTCAAGTGACACCCTCGTAAAAACAAGGTGGATTTGATCCGAAACATTTGCTCCCCAGCAAACTTTTGCCAGTTTTAATTGTAAAAGTTTCTCTTTGTTTTATGGACAATCTTCACGAAATTTTACAATTTTACTAATGTCTATGCTGAAAAAGGTGACTGCAGATAAATAAAATGTTCAAATAAAAAATTAATCAAGTGTTGTTGATAGCGTTACTCATACATCACAGTAGTGGGCAATACCAAGACTATGAATAGAAATTTATGGCGTTTCAACGACTTAAGAGAAAATGTCGATCGTTGAATTGACTGAATCATCGGAATAGTTGAGGAACTGAAAATATATATGATACGAGAGACTCTGAAACCTCGCCAAAACAGGTCGTCAGATCAGCTGCTCTGTGAATTTTTATTTTGCCAACAAATATGGCATAAAAGTTAGAGTTTGATAGTTGAGAAAACGAACACTTTGGTGCTAAGACTTGAGTCAGAAGTGTTTTATTTTGTGGGGTTTTGCGCTGTTCGAAAATCTGTCTTCACTGCCGACTGTATAATATATAATTGGTAAGGTTCTCAATTCTTTCTGAAATTGTTTTAGCCGAGACTTCAAAAGATTTTGTAATCATAGTAAGTTGCTTTCATTAGGTATAAATCCCTAGTTTGTAATCTTTTATACGTACGCCAAAACGACAAATAAATATTCAGTGGAAACAAGTTTCGTTTAATTCAACCTCTTCAGTCCACTGTATCAACTCCAGCCGCCAAAATTCACAACGACCATCACTCGGAGCTCAATGTCTCACACATTAATTACTAAATCAATCAAAAATGTAATAAAACTGATGACTGATTCTCAAGTTGCCTTTCCTTAAGCTGCTGCTGATTTTTTTCTGTGCGACAAGAAATAATTATATAAATTTCGAGCATATAGGTGGCTCAAGCTCTGCATTAGTATAAGATAATGTATGGGGATTTGGCATATTTAAAGAAAAAAAAGAATGAGAATGAGAATTATTAGAGATCAGAGATTAAGAAAAAAACAGCTTCGTTATTTTCCAACGAAAAGACTTTTTTGAAAAGCATTTTTTTTTTTCAAAAAGCATTTTAAAAGGTTTATTTCTTCTTTCTTTCTTTCTTTCTTTCTTTCTTCCTTTCTTTCTTTCTTTCTTTCTTTCTTTCTTTCTTTCTTTCTTTCTTTCTTTCTTT